ACGGCAAACGAAGCGTCCATGAGCTTTGCACGTTTTAACATAGAGAAGCGTCATCCAGGCCACCACCTCGGTGACACTCTCTTTGCTCTGTCTGGCAAACATCTGTTTGGCCTTCAAGTCTCTTCTGACCCCCGCCCCTTTTTGAGCCCTAAATTAAAACAGGGCAATCTCGGATGTATAAATGCCCTACCAATATAAGGATGTGAGTATGGCACAAAATGACTGTCTTTCACACACACGAAAAAAGCCATATGCTCACGAATTGACTAAAAGTCAACTTTTAGTTAGCATATGTTAGGCGTCGTATTAGGAAGCGTGCTTAGAATATGATGAAATCCAACTAAAAAGACTAAAAGTATCTTTGTATGACTTGTTGGATTGCATGTATTAAAAGCACATGCAATGTTTCCAGGCATACCACTAAAAGTATTCCAAATGACCATGATTATGTCGAGATTATAAATCCTAGACTTCTTTAGACTTACATATCAATAATGATCAAATTCTAGTCTTATGTGGTCATTTATTTAAAAAACAAAACAAAACATTTTTTTTTCAAGAAAACAGAGGACAGAAAAGAGCACAGTTTTCACTGTAGAGCCAAACTAATAAAGGGCTTTTTGTATACAAATTCTAGAACTTCTTAGTTATACGTAGGCTTATTATCTGTATCCCCGGTGTTATAAAGAACCAGAACTTCATTACAAACATTCAGCTGAGAAAATGAAGGCAGCACTTTGTAAATTTCCACTGGAAATTAGCGAGGAGAGGCAGAGGGACACTGGATCATAAGAAGGTCACAGTGCCCACCTGCGCCCAGAGCACCTGCGTGTACAATGCGGTTCGCACAGCAACCACCTCTCCCGTGACTGCGTGTTTGGTGTATTTTGTGTTAATGGGGTTAGCTAATTCAGTATTTTAACTTAAAAAGGCTCTGCTGATAAATAAACGAAGCACACTGCGCCAGTAATTAAAATAAATGGAAGAGTTGCAAATAAAAGTTGAATTGTTAAGAAAACGTTCTCTGAAAATATACGATAATCCCGATTTATAATACAATAGCAGTTCAGGGAATGTGCAGATTGTAAAGGTCTAAAGTGCTTGAACAAAATCACAAAAGTCAAATAAAGTTTTGGGATGTGTTAAATTTCCTTATCACTGTTCTTCAGTGGCAAATGGAACCAGATCTCTTTTGTACCCACCGCATTCTTTCAATGCCCTGTTTTTCAAAACCGTTATTGAAGATCTAGTTTCTTAATCTTTCCCACGATTTTCCTAGGGTGCTGTCTAGGAAATGGTGCTGATATTTAAGTAGAACTAAATATTTAAAACGTTTAAAGACGAGAAATCTACTATTTACCAAGGCTTCTGTCTGAGCTAGGTGGCGAATCTGAGGGAAATGGAGGCAGATACATATGATTCATAGCTGCTGGATTTTTTTCATCTGTGCCAGCGAATAAGAGAGCTCAAGAAATTGAGTTGCTAGTTCTTCTTTGCCCCTGAGTGTTGACTGGGTATCTCTCATTTCGTCTATTCTGCATAATGAAGGGTGGCAGAATATGCACCCCAAATGATGCCACTTTGGCAAAGCATTATTTTGAGGTGAAGGTATTCAAAAACGACAGGTCCAAAGAAAGGGATCTGAGCTCTCCTTTCTGTTCCAAAATCAGGAGCTAACACACGTGACAGACGCCTCTCCTCCACGAGGAGGAGAGAAGCATTCTTATGGCCAGAGCTGGGAGGTGAAGGCTGAGAGAATTCTGTACGAACAAACCTTGTTAAATAATTTTTACCTTCCTTTGGTCCCCTCCCAATATTTTAGTCACTTTTCCACAGTTGACCCTTTGTTCAGACTAACGTGTAAGGACTTCTCGGGGTGCTCCCTGATGAGGGCCTTACGTGGTGGCCCGTTTCTCCATCTTCAGAGCTAACGAAGGCGAGGTGTCCTTCTCACAGGGCATCGCTCTGACCTTCTATGTCGTCAAATCTCTCTCTGCCTCCCTCTTCCGCTTTGAGGGACCCTTGTAATTATGTCGGGCCGACCCGGACAACCTCCCCGTTTTTAATCCTTAATCGCATCTGCGAAGCCCTCTTTCTCACAGAAGGCAACCACTGCAGATTCTCAAGATCAGGAGGTCGACTCTGGAGGGGACTTCGTTTGCCTACAGGTCACAGATGGGCGCTGACCTCTACTGCGGCATCTTAACCCCCCCACTGCATTCTGGACACACTGCGGTCCACGCAGTTACAGCCCCCAGGACCAAGACAGGATGTTTACGAGTAACAGAAGGTTCTAATGCACGGGACGCCGATGTCGCCTGATTTATGATCCCCCGCTCTTTCCCACCTCTGCTGTCTTGATGGGCGAATCCGACGTTACTTACATAGCTCGGGTGCCATTGTGGTCTCCCACTTCTCCCACCTCGTAATAATCACTTCCCCCACCCTCTTCATCTAGACAACTTGCACTGTCCCATTTTATGTCCGAAAATATTCCTTAAAATTTGCTCTCTGCAAATCCCTAAAATTCTCTATGATCTCCAGTATAAAGGAAATACATTCTGCCTTTTTTTAGATTAAGGAACAATATACACATATATAATAGTATATGCAAAAAAAAAAAAAAATGCCTGGGTGAGATACACAAGATGTGATTACCAGCAGGTGCCTCTAGAAAACCCAAGCACCACCTTACGATGTTTAAAGGTTTACAGTCAATACATGATGCTATTTCTGTTTTTAAAAGTACATAAGTAATCCCTTTGTAATTTTAATTTAAAAAAAAATTTTTTTATAGTGACATTAGTTAATGAAATCCAGTAAGTTTCAGCTGTACATTTCAACCGTAAGGCATATATATATATTTATACCTCTCACAGTTGGATTTCTTTCTGTCACCACATATTTGACACCTTTACCCCATCTACCTCCCCCCTCCCCTCTGGTAACCACTAGTCTATTGTCCATGTCCATGAGTCTCCGTTTGTTTGTCCTGATCATTTGTTGCTTTTGTGTTTACATCCCACATATAAGTGATATCACGTGGTTTTCAACCTTTTCTGTTTTTAAGTGGATTAGAGCAGACTGAGTAAAGCAGGGAGGTAGCCATTCCTCCACGGAAGCAGAGGAGGATGTGGGCTTTAAAGGGGAATGAAAACATCTCAGTAGCTCTAGAGCCCAGATTCCCAGGGAGTGCGTAAGATTAGCCAGAGAAAGAAGCCTGGGTCGGACTCCCACTGGCCTGTGTCTCGAAATAAGGAACGAAGGTTTATTCTGGAGCTGATAGAAAGCCATTAAAATTTTGGCCGAATAACTGCTTGCTTACATTTCTCTGGAGTTGTTAAGGTAATGCACTGAATGGGAGTAAGACTGAGCAGACTCAGCAGGCTTTTTAAAAGTGGAAGTTTTAAGTGCCTAAGTTTAAGCAGGGGAAAAAAAAAGAGAGAAATACTTAAAAGATAGAATAGACAGGATTTGAGGACCAATAAAAGGCTGGGCAAGGAGAACAGAATCACTCACAAGTCCCCACCTGGGGCTGATAGCTGGTGCCTTAAGTAATTCACACCCAAGGGAAAAAGCAGCAGGCCGAGGCGTGACACACTGAGCTTGGGACATCTGGTGGAGATGCGAAGATGGCACCTGAAAATCTAAACCTGGAATGTAGGAGTGAGGCTTTCGAGGTTTAGGGAGTGGAAACCATTGGCATAGAGGTGGTAACTGACATCGTTTAGACAGAAGCGGCCGGAGAAGTCGTGTATGGAAGACTGGACAGAAAGAAGGAAGGAAGGAAAAAGACCGGGCACTGAGCCCTGCCAGCATCTTAGTTCTGTCCGTATCTTTTACCTAAATTACTACAATATTCTCCTAATCGGTTTCCTTCCCTACAGCATCTTTCTTCTTAAATTCACCTGTCACACAATCAACAAATTCATATTCTTTCTATAACATCCTCTTACTCAAAAGCCTTAAATAATTCTCCGGTATCTCCCAATAAACCCTCAAATCCTCGGACTTGAAGACTTGCACGATTTTTCTTTCTACTGCATTTCACGTAAAAATTAGTTTCTGCCAGATTGGTCTTCTCGTTGTTCTGTGAACTTTTCATATCATCATTTTTTTTTTATACAATGAACCTGCTTTTATCTTTTCTCTGTCAAAATCTAGATCATCAGAGACGAGAGCAAATTCTACATTAAAAAAAAAAAAATCATGGTCTTTAACGCACACTTGACCATTTTCAATAGCTTACCCATAATAATTCTTACTCAGAATTTTGTTGGGTTTTCTGGTTGGGTTTAAAGCGAGAAACATGGAAGATCTAAGAGAACAGTCTCTTCCCTCAGAGCAACATCTCTCGAGCCTAGAACTGCTCCCGACATGCGAACGTTTGCTGAATCAACAAACACTCCTCCACACTTCTCATAATATCTAGCTAGGAGCTTCTCACAGAAAAGTTACTAATTACTCGTGTCATGTCCTGGCTTCCCAGAGCTAGACGTATAAGGAAAATAATTTTTTTTTTTTTTTCAAGAAGGCATGAGAAAATGACATGAGTTTTTCTTTAGGAACAAGAATAAACCAATGAAGGTTTAAAATGACTTCTAAAAAAATCCTCTGTAATCCATACTCTAAATGTAAAAATATTATTGTCACACTTCCTATGCTTAACGAACATATTAAAGACTGTGAAGTTAATTAGAAGCATGGTCGTTGCAGATGTAATAAATTGAGGTCATACAGGAGTAGGGTAGTCCCCTAATTCAATATGACTCGTGTCCTCTGTGCGTATGTGTGTGTGTGTGTGTGAGTGAATACACACAATCAATATCGTCATCGGTATTGACCTTAACTAAAACATTTGCACATTGAAAAATGGTTGCTTCCAAATAGGTCAAGGGTGACTTTACCTTTTCTCACAAATAAAAGATTCTCTACAATATCGAGGAAGAGAAAATATTAGATAACTCAAGGCACCAAACAGGGCACAGCTGAGAACTCACATGTTGTCGTGAATGTTTTTTATCCATTCTTGTCTTTTGAGCTCCTCCCTGGCTTCTTTCAGCTCATCCATGGGTTCTGCCACCCACAAGGTGGGCTCCAAAGGCTTGTAGCGCTGTTCTAATACATCGGCGATGTCACGAAAGGGCCCCTGGAGAGACAGGATGATGTACATATTTTATTACGAAGGAGTTCTCCGCATATTATTGATGACCAAGGCTACTGAATATCTACGAAGTATAGCAAGTTTATTAAACTATTTTTAAGGAACAATTGGTTCTTGTCTGAATTAGAAAATGACATGAGAGTATCGCATCCTTGAGAAATGTTCACACAAGAATAAACGATTCTATTAAATTGTTTTAAGTAACATTTCCCTCACATCAAAAGAGTTTTTATGCTATGTTAACTTGTAGTTTTAAGTTGCTTTGCTTTGTAATTCTAAAAAACATGTTTCTTCTAATGAAATTTAAAAAGAATCCTCTCTTTTTGAATAAGTAAAAATATTAGAAACAATTCGGAGCATAGCTTTCCTATAAATAGAAGTAGAATAGCAAGTGTTTTGTTTTGTTTTTCATTAAAATTAAGTTTTTAGGTAAATGATAAATCTTATATTTAATTTTTGGTGCCCCAACACATAGAAGGACTGTATTTCCAATTATTTTAGGTGTTCTTTATTTAAAACTCTAAATTCTATTGCTTCATAATTTTGATACAACAGCAACCATGTTATCACACAAACGTGTAACAGGAAAACCCAGAAGCTGCTCCTGGGAAAAGTGATTTACAACGTAACCTATCTTTAAATTAGTAGTTACTTATACTACTCCTGGAATCCACTGGTTGTCTCATTAGGACCACATGAAGCACAACGCAGATCAGAGGTGGCTTCAGATTTTTCTGTGCCATTAATTACACTTTCTTTTCTTTTTTCACCACTATTGTGCAGGAGGGAAGTGACATAAAATGGGCAAAGATTTCCATCATATCCCTTATCCTTAAAGATCTCTTCTTTAAATAGGTTATCACTAACGAGACGCAGCTGGAGTTCCTGCGAGCACTGAGCAAAGACTGTGGGCTAATAAAAAGAAACGATTCACGCCTCATTTATGTTCACTTATGTTTTACATTAATAGAAACCAATAATAGGAACCAGTTACCATAAAAGCCATGGACCGTAAATAACACAAATGGCAAATAAGTATCATCTAGTACTTTTCACAGCTGGACAGGAGGGTTGCTATATTTGAAAGGAATTAATGGATTTTTATTGGAACTTTATTTTTTAAAGATACAGTAACATGATTCTAAGTTCCCTATGAAAAAATGAGAGTATATATATGTGTGTGTGTGTGTGTGTGTGTGTGTGTGTGTGTGTGTGTGTGTGTATCTCATTCTTAAGTTTTTACTTTGACAAATGCTATATTTTAAAAATTAATGTTTGGTTGTGTCATCAGGGGCGAATCATGCCTCTAGACCTTTTCCCTCATATATACATGAATAATAACTATCTCACAAAATTGCTTCCTAAGATATGCTAAGATATGATAAATAATACTTTTACTTAGAACAGAGTAAATACTCAAAAATGACACCCATGGCTTTATTATTATCTTTAGCACTATTATTTGTTTCAAGAGGAATTTGAAAAAGATTTTGGACAGCAGCAGCATCAAACATACAAGCAAATGGCCAAGGCTGACTGTGAAGGGCCAGTATTCACATGGGGTAAAGGTCTTCTGGGCGGCCCAGGCCCCGCCTCCCATCCTCCATCAGCGTAGCGACATGACTAACATACGTTCTTTTGTAGACTTACCCCATTCCTTGAACTGGAACTTACTATTTCCAACGAGACTAGGTGGAGCTCTACCTGAGCAGTAAAATTTGGAATAGAAATAGACCCAGTCTTTCTTTGGGGGTTCAGTATCACCTTGGTGACCCCAATCCTCTGGTTGCAAGTCCATCTCTCTCTGTGCCTAGTTTGTACATTTATATCTTAGAAAATCAGTGTCTTGCCTTTGAGCTCAATATTCCTCCTCCCTGGATAGAAAATGACATCCACTGTCAAGCTTCTCTTTGTCTTTCTGTTGATGGATTGCCTTTTAGATCTCAAGTGATCACTTGTATCAGCCATGTTTGGAGTGACATGGGATTAGGTTTTGGACATAGCTTCAAACTCCAGATCTGCTCGTTTCCAAATATTGATCCTCAGAATGCCGGCCACCCAGGACCCCACCTGAACCTGTACGTCTCCTCGGGCTCCTAGCTGTGCTTTTCCAAAGTTTGACTTTCTTTGCTGCCTCCAACCAAATCCTGATTACAAGAGTCAAATACGTTTATATTCTTTTATATTATTAACAGCCCCCATAATTTACAGTCATCTGGTATATCTAAATGTTTCTCGAAGCTTAAGTAACAGTGAAGTTATTTCTTAAGCTTACTATGACCGTCTCACATTGAAGACGTTTGTCTCACAAGTACAGATAAACTATCAGAGAATAAATAATATCATTCGGACTATAACATCTATGATCGTAAACCTCCTCAAAGCTATACATACCTTTTTATTATTAGGTTACATACAGGAAATGTGGTTCAGTCAAAGAAAACCACAATGTTAAAAATCCCATTCTGTGAAAACAGGATGGGAAAGAAGAAAAAAATAGAAGGGAAGAAAAAAAGAAGGAAGTCAAAAGAAAAGAAGGTGGAAAGAGAAGATGGATTAAGGAAGAATGGGAGGGAGGGAGGAAGGAAGGAAGGAAGGAAGGAAGGTTTTTTTTTGGAAGGAAGGAAGGAAGGAAGGAAGGAAGGAAGGAAGGAAGGAAGGAAGGAAGGAAGATAAGATGGCAATGAGAGGAGGGAGGAGGACCAGGGGTAGAAAGGAAGGAGACAGGGAAAGGAGGAAAGGGGGAAAAAACTAAGAGAAGAGAAAAGAAGGAAAAAAGGAAGAAAGAAAGGAGCAGGAAAAGAAAAAAATAGCAAGAGTCATTAATTTGAGGTGTGCTAGATAAATGTAATTTATGAATATATGTGTATATGTATATATCGATATGTACATATGTATGTATATATCTGTACACAAGTGACGAGCTTCTGAACTAGCAGACACATCCGTGTGCCTGGAGGGTGGCGCACAAGCTCCTACTCTCTGGACCCTTCCAGATCTCACTCAGCACCTCTTCATCCAGCTCTTCACTTGTATCCTTTATAATGAAGCAGTAAATGTAAATAAAATGTCTTCCTAGTTCCGGGAGCCATTCTAGCAAATCATTCAACCTTTGGACAGGGTCATGGGGACCCTCAATTTCTACCTGGTCATTAAGAAGCATGGGAGGCCTGAAAATTGCTGCTGGTGTGTGAGGTGAGGGTCGGGGCCAGTCTTGTGGGACTGAGCCCTTAAACTGCGGCGTCTGCGTTAACTCCTGGTGGAAATCAGCGTCAGAAACTGGCTGAACTGTTGGACGCCCAGTTGGTATTCAGAGGATCAGAGAACTGGTTGTTGGTTTTAGAAAACACCTCAGTCACATATACATATTACATGCATATATGTATATGTATCTTCCATATGGATACATAACCATGCATACATGTATAATTTTATGTACATATATATTATCCACATACATATTTTATATCGATACATGTATAATACATTCCATATACGTCACAATTATACTAAGTACATATGTGTATATGAGATACATTGAAATAGAACGGTGTGTGGGGGAGACGCGTGGTGTAATAAAAGTGGGTGTATTAAGAAAAGTGCATTAACAGAGAGGAAGTGAACATGAACCAGTATAAAATCAGCCATATTATAAAAGCATAAAAATAATCAGAGCAACAAAACAATATTATAAAACTCGAAAACTAAGGTTAAGTGGGCATCGGACAGTGTGGCATTCGGTTTGGCTTGAGTGTTCTCAACTCAGAAATATGTATAGAACCCGATCTTATTAATGCTATATAATTTTCACATTTCCTAAGAGGTTGCATGCAGAATTACTCTATGAATTCCACGTAGTACTAGCAAATATCCATATGACATATGGATAGTAAGTATTCAAGTGAACAATGTTATACCTGATACTTAGCGACCACTGAACAGTTAATACACACGCAATGAAGATACCAGAATAATTTTCTTTATAGAATAACTAATGACTGCATTGTACATTCTGATGGCATAGAAAACCATTACTTGCATTCATGGAAATACTAACGTGCATAATTCAAATGGTAAAAATTCAGTTAGTTATGAAATTCATTTTATATGTCTTTATTGGAATAACCCATATTTTGAAAAGAATAATGAAATCCTACTCTGAAGATATATTCCAAAGTAAACTGAGATATTCCTGATTATCTCTCTCTGTCCCCTTGCTCAGTTCCGCCCTGTTTGCCATGCTGTTTCAGAAATAAGGAGAATTTTTCATCTTCCATGTCTTCTTTGGATAAAGAGACTCATTTAAAGGTAATTAAAATATTGATACAGATTTTTAAAAATAAAATAAATCAGGGATGAGGAAAAAGAGAAAGTGGTCTAGGGGGAAAATTACCTTTATAGATTTTCAGCTACTTTTTTACAGCTCTTTCCATAGTATACTGTTAACCACTAGTTTACGGTGTTATCTGTCGGTAGTTTTGAGAGATCAAAAATATACAAACGGAGGGAACCAAGGACCCAATTATAGAGAGTGGAAACATCAAACGGCACGCATAATTCCGGCAGTAATTCTCTTCTGATGGCACGAATGCGGGCTGTCTCGCCGCGAGGCTGACCGAACAGCCGGGCGTGTGGCGGCCCCTGCGGTCCGCACGCGTCCTGGCATTCACGCCCTTGCATGGACTGGACTCATTCACTTCATCGCAGGCGAAGTGAGATGTCACTGTGGCTTCTGTTCGGAGAGCTCTCCCTCGCTCTCTTAGATCGCTCGCTCTGAGGAAAGCCAGCTGCCATGTCCGAAGCAGCACCGTAGAGAGAGGCTGAGACACGAAAACCACCACCCATGTGAGCGCCCTCGGATCTCCCCACCCTCTTCTTCCCCACACAGGTGAGCTCACGCGAGAGCACAGCCTTGGCGGACACCTTGACTGCAGCTCTGTGAGAGATCTGGAGTCGGGGACACTCGCCCGAGCTGTACCTACAATGCTGACCCATGAGGTAAGTGAGCACTGTGTGACAGCTCAAGCCGTCAGGTTTTCGAGTGACTTATTGCACAGCAAGAGGTAAACTGAGGCAAGCTTGTGCAGGGGACTAACGGTGAGGCGTTCTGGGAGCTTGGCAGTGTGACCCAGAATGAATCCGGTTCCGGCCTGATGCTGCCTGGTGGCACATGTCCACTCCGGTTTAAATGTTGACGGGGATGACAGAACTGCTGCTCTCTGGGACTTCCGGGACAGTGACGATTGTTACCCAACACATCCCACCCCGCCTTGGCCCTAGGAAGTCCTTTGCCAATCCCGCTTTATTCTAGTCCCTGGTGACTTTTTTTTTGTCTCTGCTTGAGTCTTGCATTGTTTTGGGCCCTAATTCCCCAAACCTAAACTATGTTTACAATTGTATATAAAGACATAGATCATCAGAAGACAGCTGAAATTAAGTCTATTTGATTATATGAAGGGTTTTTTTTCTAGCAACAACAGGTTATAACAAATACACGTAACAATATTTTTCCATAAAAAGGCTAAATCCTAGCTCCAAATCCTATGTGTTAACTTCATATTGAAAACCATAAAATTCAATACCAGAGAAACATTTGATGACTTCCTTGGTATATGTTTTAAATATACTTTATATTATTGAAAATTAATTTCTGTAAAAATTAATTTTCCTTTTTTTTTTTTCGTCACAAAGACAAAAGCAGGGTAACTTAAAAAACAACACCAGCGAGAATACGACCAGCGATCGAGTTCTTACACAGGACCAACGAGTACCTGGCATTGTCTCCTATGGATGGGCGGCAGAAACTCGGAGCGAGGGAAGGACCGCGCCGTGGTACACGCCAGCCAGTTGCTAAGGCAACTGGAGCGCTGCGGCTGAAGCTCGAGTCTTCGGTGGGTTAAAGGCTTCGCCTTCTGCAGCCTCAGCTCCCAAGGGTCGGGCTCCTGCCTGAACGGTGAATTGTATATGCCTGGAATCTAAAGGAAAAAAACGTCATTTGGATCTTTATCTTTAATTTTCACATGAACGGAAAGCAAGAAAAAGTCGCAGCGTAATGTTTTCCATACGCTTAAGGACCATTTGAAACTGCCACTCTGGTTCTGAACAGGCGGTGAATTTCAGATTTTTCCGAGAAGATCACAGGATACTCATGCTTGGTCTTTACTCTATACCAACGATTTCGGGATCATTCGTGGCTGAAGACTAAACATGCTAAAAACGATCGAGCTAGAGTTTCTACCTGCCTCCCGGGGCCTATTTTTCATAATTATATCAGTGAAAAAAATAAGCAGAACCTTAAGTCATTCATTTTGCTTTCTAACCACGCACCATGTACCCACACCGATAAGTCACACATTCACTCACACAAGCTCACATACACAACGTTCGAACCACTTTCGATTACAAAACACGTACTCAACGTGTATTTGATTGTTTGAATGATTATTTATTACGCAGCTTAATTAACGGAAGCCATGTTAAGTTTTTTTCTTTAAAATAATCGAAGTGCATATTCGAAATAACATCCTATGTTTTGTGCTCATGTGGTTAGATACTGCAGTCGGTAGTGTCGCATTACCCTTGCTGTTTTATCATTGACCTTGTCACACTGCATCAAAACAGTCAAGACTGACTTAGCAGAACACCTGCTATGCCATGGGAGTTCAACAGACGTATGTATGACAGATTTTAAATTCAAGTTTAGTGGATGTCCAATTTCTGAAAATTCAGTGGTGTTTGAGTACAGAACCATATTCTGATACTCTTCTCATATCTATAAACACATGTTCATCTGGAAAAATTACACTTTAAAGGACAGTATGACTTGTCTTACTGTTCCGTAGATGCTCCAGACGAATGTAAAGAATGTATCCATTGAATCTGTTTTTCCTAAAAATGTGCTTTTTTCTCTCATGCCATCATCATATCCATAAATATAGTCACCCCACTCAACACGTAGTTCCAAAGCACTATGCTTAACTAGGATAGCTGTCTTTGAAAAACTATCCTAGAAAATTATATATTTCTACTCTAACACTTCAATAAGTGTTAACCTCTGATACCAGCTCATGTGAGATTCACTTCGCTCTCCCTAATGCTTCTGTAATAGCCTGGGGGTGACCAGCACAGAACCTATTCACGTCCTCACGACCACCTTTGCGTGGGTCAGTCCTTCCCCAAGCAAGCCGCCGAAGCCGGGGGACTCCGTTTTACATATTTTTGCATCCCTAGGGCCTCGCTGAGGACTTGGTACACAGCAGACACTCAAAAAATGAATACTAAATGCTGATCGAGAATAACACGCACCACTCAGAAAGGCCCGCGAAGCCTCGCTTTCCCTCTCGTCTTCCAAAGACACATAAACATCTTAGAAAAATGTTTGAGGTTTATTGCAAAATCCAATCGAATGCTTTCCAAGAAGTTACAGAGTATCTTCTTTTAAACTTGGCGCCGGTTTCGATTTGCTCTCGAGCACGTCGTGATTAAGAACTAAGTTATCGCAGACTCCCCGACTTGTGTCACCTCCGACCCAACTCTTCCAACGTTATACTCGGGGGCTGAATTTTATTAGCTGTAACTGAGTTCATGCAAATGTATTTAAATATTTTAAAAATAGTTTGAACTGGCTCTTCTTCGAGATGTTTTTTGTCCCCTATGGCAATTTATACAAGAAAAAACTGTTGGAAAGCTTACAGGCAATGATATCAACCATTTTTTAATGTCATATTAACATTCTTGCTATAATGCCAAATATAGAACAAGGTGGATACATAAACAGCTAAATCATCTTCAAAAAAAAATATATATATATACACACACACACATACACACACACACATATATTCAAAACAGCTTTCGGTGGATAGTAACTTTTAAGTGGATGGTCATTTTTAAGATGATTTTAGAGTGATTTTCTACAATGAAAATATATCAATTGTAATGAGGAAAAAACAAATAGTATATTAAAAGGACTATTTTGACATAACATTTAAATCTACATAGCGTATGAAAGAAAACACCAATCCATTTAGTGATGATTTAATTAAATGAAGTCTGTTAGTTTATCATGCCTACAATCTCATAGATTTAAATGGTAAAATTTAACTAGATTATAATTTATGTCTTAAAATATCCATCTACCTGAATAACTGCTACCAGCTATTAACTTTACCCCCGTTAGAAATCTTCCTTGATCTTCCACACTTGTGTGCACATGTATACACAGGCTAGATGGGAAATGCAAATAGATCAGTAGACATGATAGGTTTCCTAAATTATATTTTGCAACCTATATAGAGACCTCCTCATGTGTATTCTCTTTGCAATTTAAATCAAATATAGATAGAAAATATATTTTAATTGAATTTAAAATGTGCCATTTAAAAATCTTCAAGGTGTATTTTAGAAATCAATTTAATGTATTTGCTAACTTATGTCGATGAACACAGTCCAGCCTTCCCTCAGTCCCTACAGCAAGCAAATATCCTATTTATTTAGACTAATACAGTATTCATTTAATTATTATTATTTAAGCAAATAAAACAACATCAACTTACTATGGTCTCAATTGCTATATTTCACAATGTGTCATCCACTTGTGAATAATGGTTTGTTGTTGATTTTCAAAAATATTACTATGAGTCACAAAAGACAAAATTAATCCTAAGGGACTGAAACATATTTTTCGGTTTTCACATTTTTCACAACTTAGAAGGGCTACGGCCGAGCTAGCTTTTGGGACCTCATTTTCAGCAATAATTTTCTAGAGTGACCGACACTATGGGGAAATCTGTGCTAACTGTTTAAAAAAAAAAAAAAAAAAACCTACAACTGAGTTATTTGCAGTACCGTCATGCTAACATTCAACTCAATAAGACCCAGGAAATCTCAGGAGAGGGCTCTGCTAATAGCTTCTTACTGACCTCCTTGCATCCGGCCGACTGCTGACGGGTGGCCCAGTGGTGAATATGGCAAATGAGGTGTGAAAGCACTGATTTTTTTTAAAGGAAAAGATTCTGACTCGTCAAAAGGGGAAGAGAAGAAAAAAAAAAAAAAGGCAATGAGTTATATAATAGATATATATTTTTCTTGAATTCCCCCCTTCAGACCTTCCATCCTGGGAACTTGAGCGTGACCTAGAATATTAATTATGTCAGGTTGAGCAGCGAGCAAATGTACCATTTGTTACCCAGTCACCCTTAGCGTTACATTAATATTTTGAACCGTTCCAGATTTCTAACCATCTATCCGTGGGCTCCTTTCTTCTCAGTTTTCATTCTTACACTTAAGTGTTATATGGGCAAGTACTTTAAAAATGCAATTGATTTGAAAACAAGCAGATCTATTTTTTATATTCGAAGCACCTGCTGCTTTATTTCATGAAGAATGTTTTCATGGTCATTTTCCACTCACACACTGACCTTTATTTTGTAATTGCCCGGGGGAAGTTCTATCTAATTTTTTTGTCCCTTCTCTTTGTTATTGAGGCTTACTTTTCAAACAAGCTTCCATGAAATAAAAAGAACTTGAAAAGGGTTGTGTACACCTGTAATTCCCAAAGCACAATTACTAGTGTTTCCATTTCATACCCTTACCACGTGAGAATGATAATTTCTCATGACTTCAAAGTAACTGCTTATTCCTGGAATGGAGAGTTATTAGGTATACAGGGTAAGTGGGAGAATTCAAGTTTTACTTTAGCGAATAACAAATACACAGCAAACGGGAGTCGCCGACTGCCGTAAAGAGGAACAAGATTAGAAAGTGTTTTTCTTGCTCCATGATCCGCAGTTTGTGAATACTGTGAGAGATAAAGGTTTAAAAGGAGGGCTGTCTGAAATATGTGTGAGTTCTAAGTTTCGATTTAAAAAAATGCTCTTAAGAAATAAGACACCAAGCGAGCACAGAAGAGTGGACACAGTCCCCAAGGACAAGAAAAGGACACGCGAAGGCCGGGGAACTGAGAACGCAGTATCTGCCAGGGTGGGGGGCTGCGGAGTCAACACTGACCAGGGCACTCCTTCACAATTATCGGGACGTCCTCGTGCCAGGGGATTTATAAAAACCCCACCCGGCAAATAATTGCCCTGCTGTTAGGAGGCAGTCAGAGTGTTAACACTGTCACGGTCCAGCGTTTAGTAAGATATTCCACATTCAATTACTCCTGCGGAGAAGGAAGAGGGCACATGGCCGAGGCTGGGCTTCCACCTGCGTCGCAGGCGGCAGCGCTGAGAACCCTCAGGTGCGGGGCCCCGGGACGGGATGCGACTCCACGGAAACGCTGGGATTCACGAAGAACACATCTGGTGGCGAGCTCATCTACGTAGAGCGGGACTTAAAAAAAAAAAATCTATTACCGACTATGCTTCTTCTCTTCTGCTAGTGCAGTTGAGAGAATTTTTAAATGTTTGAGTCAAGTTATAGAGGGGTTGCAGACTCCAGCTGTGGCTGGCTCCTTTAGGCGAACAGATTATGTTTACAGACCATTTTGATATCTTAATCATTATCATCGTATGTTACCACGTTCTCGTGAAATGTTGATAAAATGGAGCAACTTAAACAAGATACCATTCTCTATGTACGAAGTCACTTCGATAATATTGAGACTCTACTCACTCAGATACACTTTGCTGGATCTAAGGTGGGGACAGAGATGAATAAGAAGTGATCGGCCCATCACACCACCGTCAGCAGGGCGGGAGGGCGGGATTAAGAGAATGATTTTGTGACCGACAATAACATAATCGGCTTGGAGTAAGTGTCCTTTAATAACCGTTGTACAAGAGGCATGCGGCAAAGGCTGTGATGATGGCATGTCCTTTAGAAAACTCTGGAAAGAGTATCTGAATTCGTGCTAAAGATGAGTAGGCAACTAAAAAAAAAAAAAGGCGTACCAGGCTAAGGGAGGGGTAAAATAAAGACAAATTTATGGGGAAACATGGGGCCATTGTTCGGTGAACATTGTGTTGGCCAGTGT